AGGCAAGCAACTGTCTTAACTTTAAGGATGCAGTCTACTTCTGATAAAGTGGGAGGCTATGAATTTAAGAAATTGATTTTTAGCAAACACCTGTTGATAGTCATTCAGTATCTTAACTTTATGTTGTCCTTTTCAGCCCAGATTAATCTGGAACACATTTAGATTGGGTGGTGGAGAAGGAAATTCCCTCCTCATGCACGCGCTTTGTGCAACGATACCCTTGATTTATTGTGGAGAGATTATCCACCTTAGGGGAAACGCTTCACCTGCTGAACACTACACAGTAACTGAGGAGTTATGAAAAGCATCAATTTAGATTATTCCATAGAAACCTGCAATGAGCAAATTACAAGGTCTTTGATTTAATTATTACACATTGATATTACCCATGGGGTCCACAGTATTTACTGTTCTTAGATCATTCATATAGCTTATCACTGATTTCCTGTATGCAAGTATTGCAGAGTATAAACTGGTGGGGGGCGGTGGACATTTTCTCTTTTATTTGAATCCCTATTGTTTTGGTGATGATATACGGTGGGATAATAGCGTAAAGCATTTTGGACCATTATGTACTCAGTTGCTGCAGTTGTGAATTGGAGTCCTAAGCAACCGATCTGAAGTTTGAACAAAGCTGCGGTTCAGAATCACTTCTGTCCTGCAAAAGTCTTTCCCTGGTATGACAGCTAATGACAGCACACTAGGAAGTAATGCTGGGCTGAAAGGCACTCACTGATGTTTCAGCTGGCAATAGTCAAAACCAAATGTTATCCTGTTTACTGCTCATTAGTTGAGCTAAAAACTGGAACTATTTAACTCAAAGTGTAGCAATATGATATTTCTACTGTCATCTCGTAGGGCACCATGGCTACTAATTTTATATTATTACGGCATGTCTGCCAGCAAGACTCAGCAAAATGTAAGAAGTAAAATTAATTGCTGAAACAAAATATATTCATTGAAAATCTCAACATTTTTGTCTTCCCTTCCATTCATGTAGTTTTCCCATTTGATTTCCTTCTACTTACTTTTATTTTCCTATTTAGTTAGGGGACTTTTCCTCTATACCTGTTGCAGAGACTGATTGAATTGAGACTCTAGAAACATGGGGAGATTTTTTAACTGGGTTTAATCCATTTTCTGCTTGAGCCCACTTCAAACTTTTTGATTAATTTTTCTTAACTGTAAAACAGTGATAACTCTCATCTGTTTTCCTGGGCAAACTAGAGGGTCCTGTTTGCTGGAAAGTGAATGCCCCTGTGCTTTTTCTCTCTCTCCTTAATTGAGATTTTCCTCTTCCCTCTTTTCCTGTTGCTTTTTCATATCTTAGTCCCCTTCCCCCCATCTGCCCGCATTCCCAGTAGTGTGTTTTGTATATTGTGTCAGTACTGCAGCTATAGCCTACAGCTGTTGTGAAGAAAAGCAGAATAAAGACTGTCAGAATAAATAGTATTGGTTACTGACAACAACTGCAGGAATACTTAAAAAAAAAAAAAGTGGTTAAAACAAGCTAGTATTTGGAGTTTATGGAGATTCTGATCTTGCAGGACCCTAGACTAATGATTGATTGTAGTTGGTCTTAGTAGGGAAAAGAGTGGAGTGAGGTGTCCATTTCAACCACTGGTTTTAAAGTACGCAGGACCACCATGCTTTTTAAAATGTGATGGAGCTTTTGTAGAACAGATCTGTCACATCTCCCCCTTGAAGGGTAGAAGCTGGAGAATCCCTGTCCATTGCTGCCATCTTCCTTATCTCTGGATTAATGAATTCTGTTCTGAATACCACCAAGGCTGTGTTAGGACAGTTGTTCACAAAACCCAGAACCAGTAGGAAGGCTACCAGGTCAAAAGAAGGTTTTTGTGCCCTTTTGAGGGGGAAAATAGTAAGGGGGACAAATCCTTGCTGTTCTTGCATTGGTCTCCAAGCTTTGGGATAGCTATGTGACTGTATTAATCACCATTAATCTCTCCATCTGGTTGCATTCTGGTCCAGGTTTGTTTGTAATACTCAGGATAAAGTTGCTGAGCGCTGCGGAAAGATCAGAGACTTGAGAATTGGTTTTACAGTGGCGGTGGTACCCTCCCCAGGACTCAATCAGCATGTCTACCCTGTGCTGTAAGTAACGAAGGTTGTGTGACAGGTACCAGAAAGAGAATTAGGCTGCTGGGTGAGCTGGTGCAGACAGGCTCACATGCATGCTGCTCAGGGTTAGCATCATCTGGCATCTGTAGCAGATTGTCAAAAAGCATGCCCCAAAATACTTGGGGTGGGCTTCCTCTGGGGGGTGTGTAGTGGTTCTGAGACATTACTATTTCATATGTGTATTTTTAATACAAGACTGTATTGTGCCTGCCAGAGCGGTGGTGGTACATAGCATGATATTGAGGCTGAATGTTGCTTGTCCCAGGGTTGTGGTGAAAGGAGTATTGAGTGTTTTCAGAAACATGGCTTGTTGGGGTAGCTGTCAGCAGTGAGAGCAGTGCTCTTCTACAGGTATGCGAGACCTCTGCCAGCTAATTCTGTAGTAAGAATTTGTTGAACAGCTCTCGTGGTGCAGAAGGAGAAAAAGTTTCTAGTTCTCTTTTCTGTGGTCAGTGTTGGCTGTATAGGGGAGAGAAGTGATGGAGGTATGGTTTTACCCCAGTATGTATGTAAATACACCAAGGAGGTGTGCTAAGTGAGTGTAAAAATTTTTATAACTGAGGCCGAGACTTGTTCGCATTTGGATCTGAAGTCTGTGTGTGTTCTGTTGGATAGTGTAGAAGCTGGATACTGTTTTACTCCTCTTAGTATTATAAAATGAATTACCTTCAGAAACAAGTAGTCAAGCTTACTGTATCTGTGAAATGTGTTACCGACTGCCCCTCAGAATTGCTTTCCAGTTGTTTATTACAAGCTGACAGTAAAAAGTAGTGTGTGCTGTCAGCATGCAACTTAGATTTGCTGATCCTCAGGGGTTTTTTGTTTGTTTGTTTGGGTTTTTTTTAGATTTATATAGCTATCCTGAACTGTGTAGATTCCTTATTTTGTAGGTCAGTTGGATGTTAGGTGTTGCTCTGTTGCTGGTGTTTTCTTTCCTGTTCTGACAACAGAGCTGATGGGTATCAACAGAAGAAAAACTAGTTCTGTTCATTCTCAGGTTTCCTGTGGAGAGTAGTAGAGACCCCTGCCGTCAATACCTTACAGACTATACTGATGATTTCACATGTGGAAAATCTGGGGAAAGGATGTAAATGAGAGCACTAACCTAACTTTTCTGTGTCTTTTAAAACAATGAGGCAGATGCCCATGTGGTCTCCAGTGTAATTTATCTAAGAACAGAAAGAATTCATTGGAAAATGTGGTCTTGAGGGTTGGGAGACAAGGAGGGGAGGACTAAGAGGAACTTGGGATTCCCTTCTTGTTTGTTTTGGTGATTCTGGCCTTGTGTTCTTGAAGACCAGATGGGGAAAAAAATCCCAGCAAAACCCCTCAAAAAACTGAGGCTGCATGGCTGCATACTAATTTTTTTTTTTCCTTCTCAAGAACCTCTCCCCTCTTTTTTTTTTTTCTCCTTCCCTCTTTTTGTCCCCCCTGTCCCCTCTGCCCCCTTTCCTTGTAAGTAAAATTCTCTTCTCTGCTGTAGCATCTCTTTTTTTTGTTTGTTTTGGTTTTGTTCTCTTCTGTGTTTGAGGTTGAAGTAGATGTGGAGAATCTTCACTGTTAGTGGTAAGAGCACTGAAAACTCTTCTGTTGCTTCCTTAGAGCAGCACTGTGCATTGCATGTGGATGGAGAGAGCAGGTTAGCCACTCCGTGTGGTGCTTGCCAGGAGGGACAGTAGCTTGTCATTCCCAATGAACCTCGAGAAGCTCGGGCAGTACATCGAGTAGTTCGTGTTGTCAGTCCTAGGTCTGGCTCCCACATACATCCCTGTGAATCAGCAAACTTTTCCAGAAGACACCTGGGCTAAACTAGTGGGAATGTGGAGTTACTGTATTCCTTCTGCCTGTGATATCTCTCCAGGGTCTCATGTATATTTTGAAAGCTGCTATAAAATAACTTTCCACGTTCTTGTGTTTCTTCTCTTTGATCCAGCCTGTTCCGTATGCATTGTCTTTAATCACTGCCTTTGCTTCACTTAGCCTCAGTCCTTGTTCTTCTCACAGGTGGCAATTTTCTTGTGTGTTTTCCATATCAAAGCTCTCTGTTATTGAAGTTTCATTCTTTATCTGCTGTGAGATGATAATAACAGACAAAAGTATTAGCATGGTAACTTCATAGTATGATGGCAGTGAAAGGCTGTATGAAAGTGGAGCTCTTGAAAGAAGGCAGGGAACAGAACAAAGGATTGGATCATCACAGACCTAACACTGAAAAACTGAACCTTCCCCTTGAAAAACAGGAATATTTGCCTCCTGCAGCAGCATGTGAGAGGGCATACTGGGCAAAGATCCACAAGGTGGTACTGGTAGGCAGCAAATACGGAGGAATGATTTCTGATGCCAGTCAGGTATTGTGGGGTTCACACTGTGTTGTGCAGAGCAGCACAGCATCAATAATACTGTCTTTCAGAAGAAAACAGTTTAATTCTGCAGAGATTGATGTGGCTTTCATTTTGATGGGTGGGAGCTAACTTTACTCATAGCCAGCAGAACCTCTTGCCTTGCACCTTTTGTTAATTTTGGTGGGAATAGTAGTAGTAAAGCCTGTGTATTGCCAGGCACTGTACACACACATAACATGGAGCAGTGGTTGCACTTTCTGGTGGGGGGGGGGGGGGGAAGAGAGAGAGAAAAAAAGACTGGGAGTGGAGAACAAAGCAGGAAAGTCATTTGCCTAAAATCATGCAGCTGTTTTGTGGCTGAGCTAGGACCAAAGCTCAGTGTCTTAGCTTCTGACCAGTAGTTCATACTTGCTGTTCCTTTCATGTTTTGCCATAAGGTATTTTCCTGAGTCTGTGAAGGTACAGGAGTGGAGAGTGGTAGAAACTAACACTTTTTTTTTTGTTTGTTTGGTCCAGGTAAAGTTGTATTTTCTGACATTTGAAGAGCAAGCAGCACCATAGCTCCATGAACTGGAAAACCCCAGGAAGTGTGGCAGCCCTCCCTACCTCCAGCTTTTCTTCCTTACTGTGACGTTCTTCTCAGGGCCTTTGGTTTCATCCCCACTGGGTGCACAGTGGCCTGCCTCAGCATCAGAGCGGAGGAAGCAGTTTGTGGATCAGAGAGCGCCATGGCCTTGAGCTTGTATGTCTTTCACCTCTTCTATAAGTTCAAAGTGTTGGTGCTTGTCACTTTGTGTTTGATGGTGCTATGGGCCACATTCAGTTACTTTGTGGACTCCAGACATGAAATTTCTAAAGCTAAGAGCATGGTGGAGGATTTCAGAAAGGTAACTAGCCTGGAGGACAGTCAAAAGGAAGAGGAGATTGAATCAGTTGCAAAAGTTCCCACGGTGGAGTCATTTCAGGGTCACTGCCCCGCTCTGTCTCCGTACCTGCGTAAGTGACGGTGCTTTCCTCTCTTTTCTAACAAGTTACATCTGCTTTGGTACTGCTGACTTGGTTTTCTTCCTAGCCGTTTTACAGTTAGACACTTTTCTTGTGAAACAAGTATAACGCAACCAGTTGTAGTAAGCACTTCTGGGTGACGAAGCGACTTGTGGCACAGAGTGCTTGTGCTGGGTCTGGCTGGGATAGCAGCCGGTATGGTGCTGTGCTTTGTCTTTGTGCCTAAACCAGCTTTGGTAACGCACCAGTGACTTGGCTACTGCTGAACGGTGTTTGCACACTGTTGAGGCTTTGTCTTTCTCGTTCCCAGCCCCCTAAAATCTGGTAGGCAAGAGGTTGGGAGTGGACACAGCTGGGACAGCTGACCCCAACTGACCAAAGGGATGTTCCAGACCATATGACCATACCGTTTATCATGCTCAGCAATAAAAGCTCAGGGAAAGGAGGAAGGGGGGATGTTCATGGTTACAGTGTTTGTCTTCTCAACAACTACTATACCTGCTGAAGCCCTGCTCCCCAGGATGTGGCTGGACACCTGCCTGCCAATGGGAAGTAATGAATGAATTTCTCTTTTTGCTTTGCTCGCATGTGCAGCATTTGCTTTTTTATTAAACTGTCTTTATCTCAACCACAAGTTTTTTCACCTTTCCTTAATTTTTTGCCCTTTCAATTTTAGATGTACTTTCGTGTCTCTATCTTGACAGTTGAAGGACTGCACAGCTGCGTTGGGGTTAGGACTAGTTATGATGAAGGTCCAAATAGGTGACTCTTTCCTTGGTTTGGCCATTTTAATTGTCCACTTTTTTTTGGTCTTGGTATTGGTAGCAGCACCAGGCTTCTGCTTTGCAGTATCATGTCATTGTCTTCTTCCTCTTCCTTTTTGTGAACCTGATTGGGGATTTGTTGGGGAAGCTGGATTCTTCCCTCTTCCCTGATGTAGTCCAAAAAGCTGCTGTCTAGCTGCACGCCCCCACCCCTGCCCCCGAGACATATTTTTTTTAAGTAAATGCACTGTGGCCATAGCTATCACAGTTGCCTGCATTGTTCTCTTTCATGGTTTTGCCAAGTCCGGAGGGTCTGGAACAATAGCTCAGTGCAAGAGAAGTGATGAAAATTTCATTTGTCTACAGAAAGCCTTGGTACATTTTATCTTACAAATTTATAGCCTTAAGTCTGTGATGCTTTTGTTAAAGCTTTAAGTAGAGATGACTTCTCATGGCCACAGTCCTGTCTCTTTCCACTTCCCCCTCCTCTGCTTTGCCCTGGCAGCTGTTTCTGGCCAATCCTCCTGCAGTGTGGTGGCACTTCTCTTGATTATTTTTAATGTATTTTTTTTTATCATCACTACTCTGTAATTGGTTTAAGCAACTAAACGCTCGATACCCTCTCCTTCCACTGCCCACATAATATCCTTGTAGCTATACTTTTCTCTGTGAAAGGCAGGGAAACCAGCTGGGGCTTGAACCTGGGTTTCTTATGCTGGTTACAGAGTGCCTCATTAGGTGACTGGACTAGCCACAACCAGAAATGACTCAGGAAAGCTTCTTGTGCTTCTCCTACAGGAGGTGCCAGCAAACTCACCTTCAAAGCAACTCTCACACTAGAAGAAGTGCAAAAGGAGAACCCTCAGGTAGTCAAGGGCCGGTATCACCCTACGGAGTGCTCAGCATTGCAGCACGTGGCCATCCTCATCCCACACCGCAATCGAGAGAAGCATCTGCTGTACCTCCTGGAGCACCTCCACCCTTTCCTACAAAGGCAGCAGCTGGACTATGGCATCTACGTTATTCACCAGGTGAGGCAACTGTGCAGAGACATGTTTGGGTGGGGATGTCAGTGCTCTGCAGTCCAAGGAGAGGCATGCTGCTGCCTCTGCTGTCTAGCATCAGTCCTCCAAGCCTGCTTCGAACACTTCTACTTCTTGAGGGATGCAACGCTGCATACAGCCATTGCTGGTAGCACTACAGGATCTCAGCTGCTGTTAGCAAAGCTGGGAAGTATTAACAGTGTCTTTAACTGGTATCCATTTCTCAGTCTAGTTAACTTACTATTTCTGAGTTAGCATCTTCTGCATTACTAATGCAACTTGCTTTTCTTGCAGTATACACATGCGTAGCTAGGCTGACATGCTTTCTGTCTTTAAATTTGGAGTTGTTTGGATCAAAGGCGTCAGTTTGTATCTAGCTCTTCTCTCCCATCTGTTTGCTGGCTGTCCTGCTTTGTAAGCTGTGTGTATCATGTGGTTGTACTTACTTCTGCTGTCTCAAACTAAACACAACAGCTACTGCTTGTATAGGTGCTTTACTTGCTCAGCAACAGCCGTGGGAAGAAGTAGTCATGGCAGAGCACTTGGTTCCTGAAAAGTTTATTAATTTCTTTATTTGCATTCTTTCTAGCTCTGCTGAGTCAGTGGTTAAAATTTGCACATATGGACTTGTGCTCTGTTGTCTTTCATCTAAGGTGCTTATGTTCTAGTCACATGAGGTAAAAGCAGTGTAGATTTCTCTTGTCTTTTTCTTGATCTTTTATTGTGTTTGCTTTCTTTTACTATCATTGACTTACGTGTTCTGCTTTAACTCTAAACAGACTTTTCAGACAGCAGGAGAAGAAGGTGATAAATTAATAATAGTTTCTCTTCCCTTCTGTTTAAAGAGGCCAGAGTCAATTAACCAGTATGAGGCAGTGCATTCTAGGTGACAGCTTACACTTTTCCTCAGTGGCACAGCAGAATAGCAACAAAAGTCATGGCAGGATATATACTTTCAGTTGGAATAGACTGTTCTTTCATTGCTTAGAGTCATCATGTGGCCCGTAGATTGGAAAAACTGAGGCTTTTTTTCTGCATTGATATGTACTGTAACCATACGTATAATGGCTCACTTCAGCTAGGAAGCAGTGGTTAGCAATAAATCACTGGGAGAATGGGCATACGCTCTTTATTTATTGAAATGTGAGGTGGAGAATGGCTGTTGTCATGTTAGCAAAAAGTAATACAGAAGGATGAAAGTTTTGTTTGATGGGAGCAGCAATGTTGAGACTGGACTTGTTCTATCAGAGTTTTTACTTGGAAGATTGGAAGCTTTTCCTTAGCCTTTCCGTGTAGATAGGCATACCCAAAGACTGAAAGTGAGTCTACCAAAACTCTTCAATGGCAAATCCATCTTCACTCTGCATTTGTGATGTTGTTACTTGTTATAAGTATCTTTTGAGGAAAGAAATAGTTAAAACCAGTATTTAACTATTAAAATATAGAGTTTACTTTGGAGGAAGGTTAAGAAGTGGGCCTTTTATGTTTTTCTCTGTGAGCCATTGAAGGGCATACTCCAGATCTCCTCTTTATGGTCTGCTTGTAACATCTTGAAAATCGTGTTTCTCTGCACAAATGTGTGCATATGTGGGTGCAGTGCTGAAAAAAAGTGAGTTTGTAATCCCTAAAGGTTGAATAATTTCTTTCCCAACATAAGTTTATCTTGTGGTCAGTGGTGTTCTTCCATAGAAACAGAGGATGACAACTCTCTCCTCAATAAAAGATGAGAGTAAACTTTGCTATTTGTTCAGTATATGGTCTAACATTGAAAACTGCCCTTCCTGGAAAGCAATTTAGCTGTTGTTTGCCCGCTTTCGTGCAGGAGGTGGGCTGTGGTGGCTGACTGTACTGATAGGGGGAGACAACTGCAGCAGATGGTAGACAGTGCTGCTGAACTAGGCTGGGTTTGATACCCAATACAACTGCAGTTCTTCACATGTTCTTTACCAGTCACCTGAATTGTTCTGTTCACTCAATAACCTATGTTTTCATCATCAGGAGAAGATTACCTGACAGATATCTTCATATACAGGACACTTTAAAAAAAACCAAAACACCACCACAACAAAACGCCACCACAAAAAAAAAAACCAAAACAAACCACACTCAGAAATTTGACATCACAGATTTTGGGTGAATTGTATCTAAGTTTTTCTTGGAAAAGTCCTTCTCTGGCTGAGAATGGAAGCAACTGATTACCCCTCTCAATTTTTTCAGAGTGGTCACTGGGCTGTATTTCCCTACCTGCAGGTATGGAGCCATAAATCCCATGAATCTTCTTGTGCAGGAGCAGATGGCCGTTAGTGATGGTGAACAAATTGCTGCTTCAGAGCAAAGCGTTACTTTTTAGAATAATAAAACATGCTTTGTATACAACTGCTTTTCCCTACACCTAACCTTCCCTCAGTCTGGGAAGGCCAGCTTCTTTCTCATCTTCCATGGAGCCTCTTTCAGTCCAGGCACCTTCTAGCAAATGACACCTTTCTCTTGAAAATTGCTTTTTTTATTCTTTCAAGTACATCAGGTTCCTAGCTCTGGAAAATGTCTGTCCTGACAGTTTCTGGGAGCGCAGAGCTTGGCCCTCTCACTCCCAAGTGGGAACTTGAGGCAACTCACCACCTTGTTTGTCCTCAAGGAGCAGAAAGCCTTCTACAGGCTGGCACGTGTGTACAGCCCAGTAAAAAATACCTAGCAAGATAAGCATACCTTAGTGAAACGTGACACATGCTCTAGAGTGAATGGTGACACGGTAAGCTTACAGAACTGTCAGGTGTGTATGTATGTATGTATATCTCAGAGGTGAAAAAGGATAGTTTTGAAAAGCAAAGACACACTAACTTATAGCAAAAGCAAACAATGAAGACTAGTAAAAGTCAAGTGAAGCTCTGTTCTAGGGGGAGTCCCTGTGCAGCATAATAATTAGGTTATAGATAGGAGTTAATAATGAAGAGACCTGCTTTTTATTTCCCACTCTGCCACCTACTGTGTGACCTGAGGAAATACAGTGAACTCTTTAAGCATTGCTGTCCTTTAAACTGAGTGGACAAGCATAAATCATCTGTGGCAGGTGCTCTGATATCTATAAACTAATTAGTATGGGAATAATGGTTTTTTTGGTGGGGTTTTGTTTGTTTGTTTTTGGCTTTTGTTTTAAAAAACTTCCATAAGCCTTACTGACACAGTTGTATGGAGCACCAGTTTCTAAACTGTTTGCTGATGCCTCATTTGTTATGTAGCCTGATGGGAACTCCAGGACGGGAGCAGCAATAGTAGTGAAATTGCAGCAGGCATACTTCTGGTGCCCAGATAACTGTAGGCTCTCCTGGCCTTGGCTGTGTTTGTTCATGACAAGTAGAAACTGAAGAAACGCTTTGCATCGTTGGCCACTCTGATGCTGTACCCAATGTCTATAAAGGCTGTGACGCATGAACATGGTTGCAAACTACGTGATCAGGACAAATGCCCTGGAGCAGTTCTGGTTCAAAAGGTTTGACACCTTCTTCAGAGGTTTTTTCCATTCTCTTCCACAGGCTGGCAGCACCAAATTTAATCGAGCTAAACTGCTGAATGTAGGATACCTAGAGGCCCTAAAAGAAGCAAACTGGGACTGTTTCATTTTCCATGATGTGGATCTGGTGCCAGAAAATGACTTTAACATTTACATGTGTGACAGACAACCAAAGCACCTTGTAGTTGGCAGGAACAATACTGGATACAGGTAGGAAACCAGGAATATGGAAAGAATACCAACTGGGCAATGCCATGTTACTGATAATGTTCCTCTTCTGATGGAGCCATATGCTGGTATCTACCCTCTCTCCTGGCACCAGGTTTCTGGTGGTAATGCTTTGTCTCTCTGGAGTGCCTTCTGACAAAAGAGAACTGTACGGACATCTCTGAAGTCTGCCCCGTGGTCACCTGTACAAATGATCATTGTCATCGTTCTGGTTCCTGGGGTAAGGTAGAGGGTGTTCTGAGAGGAAAGCAACATGCCAGAGGTTGTGCAGAGACCTTCTGTCAGAGCTAGAAATGCATTTGCAGTCTCCTGGTCCTGTGATTTGAGGGTGTGATCTTATTATAATAAAACTTGCCACTTGCCTTTTGCTGTTGAAGAGGTAACAGCTGATATTGACAGCTCAAGTATGAGAATTTGCCAAGGGATAGGGTTGTCCTTTAATTATTTTGCTGGACAGTGTGTAATACAGGATTGTTCTGATTTTTAAATGGGTACCCTAAGTGCCAGTATGATATAAATAATTTAAAGTGAAAAGTCAGGTTCAGTCCACCTCAGAGAAAAAGGGCTTCTGAGCTTGGTGAATTTAATGACTTAGTGTTTTCATTGAACTTGTTTCTTTGAAGATTCGCCTCTTATGTCACGTCAGTCTAAATATTAATTAGAAGTGGGCTTTTCAAAAGCTGATCTCAAAGTACATTGAAGTAAAGCTCTGTTTCACTTCGGGGTTTCCTTTGTTAAATATATGAGAAAGAGGTGGGATGTGCAAATTCTTATACAGAATAATATTCACTTCCCAGTCATTTAGTGAAAACTGGAACAAGCACAAATGAACTAAGCTCATGACAGGCTTTTGGAGCGCTGTGTCTTGCAGAGAGAACACTGAGGCCTCCAGGATCGTAAGTGCACCAAAGCAACAGAAATGCTGCTTTTGTTAATTGACAGGCGTGTAGAATCCAGGCTAATAACATGGCACAAAGCTTGAGGTGCTTTACTTAACCTCCTGTGCCTTAGTAACTGCAAGTGTTTTGCTTAGTTAAGCATGCAGATGGATTCTTGCTTTTACTAAGGGATCTTCTTACTATTAATTTCCTCAGGTTTCTCCTGTTTGTGGAAAGGAGCTGTTAGTTAGAGGTCAACTTTAAGCTTTGGCTTTAAAGAGTACGGACAAAATGTTTTTGTTGTGAATGCCCTGCACCAGTATTCACTAGGACACTGGTGGTTTGAATTTGATTCATCCTTTTTCAGTGTCCACTGCCTCTGTTTATGCATCTGGGAAGTGGGGATAATAATGCTCTACTTCCAAGGGAATTCCTGGGTATGTCTGAAGGAATTCAGAGCCTGAGCTCAAGAATGATACCTAAACTGAGCTGAGACCACAGGTTGAAGTCCCAGTTGGGTGACCTCAGTGTTTTGCTTAGGCTGAGGTGAGCGTACTGAGACATGTCACTCAGACAAGGTTGAGAAAACTGAAGTCATACGTGTTCTGCATTAACACAAAATATCCTGGGCAGGAATGTGGGGGTTTTGTGGGTTTCCCGGAGGTTTTTGTTTGTTTATTTTTTTCTTCCAGGGGGATATTTTCTATGGTGATGCAGTGCGTGGTAATCTTAGCAGCCATGCTCCTTTGGAGAGCAAGTACCTTATGTTTAGTTACATAAACTACAACTCAGTTTTAGATTCTTTAGAAAAAAGGTTTATATATTAAAGCTTTGGAGGTAAGGGTGGGAAAACTTTTTCTCTTAGCTAAGCTATTTCCTTGAGACCAGCACAACATCCTTTCCTAATGACTGTTTCTATTGTATGGTTTCTTCAGTCCAATATTTAAAATCCCAAAGGAGCTGATATTCTCTTGTCCTCAGGCAAGAGGTGGTTGAACAGTGTTACAGACATGCATTTTTTGCAGACGATGTCACCTAGGAGCAAGATATGCCTGGGCCCTGCCAGTTCTGCTCTGCCTGAGGAGGGTTGAGTGGGCAGCACTGTCCTGGTTACAGCTCTGGCTGCTTTGCTGTCTGCCTCTCCAGTGGTGGAGGGGAATAATGGGGTGCATAAAGTTCTGCATTAATCTGCTAAACTTTATACTTGGAAACAAGGAAGAACTGGTCAGGGATGTGAAGGTCAGAAACAAGGAGGGAATGAGGCGAATAGCAGGATCACAACCCTCGTCTTCCTGTTCAGGGATCTGCTTGGAAGAATCACTTGGGAGATGAACCTGGAGAGATGAAAGATTCAGGAGAGCTTGTGGATCTTCAGGGCTTGCCTCCTTCATGCTCAAGAATGGTCCATTCCCACCTGCAGAAAGTCAGGCAAAGGTGAATGGAGGCCTGCATGGAGCAACAAGGAGCTCCTGAGGGGGAAAAAAAACAAACAGAAAAAGGAAGCATGAAAGAGGTGGAAGCAGAGTCAGGTGACTTGTGAGGACACACAAGATGCAGTCTAAGCATGCAGGGATGGGGTTAGGAAAACCAAAGCCCTTCTGAAGTTGAGTCTCACAAGCAACATGAAAGGCAATGTGAAGGGCTTCTACAGGTACGTCAGCTGCTGGGAAGACTAGGGAAAACGTGTACCTGCTGTGTGGCAGGGGACTTGGTGACAAAAGACAAGAAAAAGGCCAAGATATTCAATGCCTTATCTGCTTTGGTCCTTATTGGCAAGATTTGCCTTCAGGAATCCCGGGTATCTGATACCAGTGGAAAAGTCTGGACTTACCAAGACTTATCCTTGGTAGAGGAGGATCAAATTAAGGAATACTTGATCTGGGTGTACACCATAAAACCATGTTACCTGATGGGATGTATCCATGAGTGCAAAGAGAACTGATTGCTGTCATTGTGAGGCTTGTCTGGCATGTAAATTGCCATAATGGATACTTTCTAGCCCTGGCAATTTGTCCATCTGTTTAGATTCACATACATCTAGAAATCAAAATGTGATCTGCAGCCATGTGCACATCACCTCTGAAGCTGGCAGCGGCAACGTAGTAGAAGCTGTGTTGTAATGCCAAGAAAGAGGAGGGTATCATGAAAAGCAATTAGCAAAATGGTATAAGAATATAAATAAGCGTGGTATCTCAATACCTTTTTAAAGTAGATGTGGTTTCTAGGACAGGGAAGGTAAAAGTTAGAAATTAATCTCCTTTAGAGCTGAGCTCCATTACATTAGGTTACTAAGTAACTTGCACTGTACCTTACCTTGGAATTGGTCCTACAATATCCCATAGCACATGCCCCCTTGCTGAGATCTGATTTCATTCCAAGATTTTCAGATTCAGCTCTTAAGATAGACGGTGGCTTGCTGTCATTATTGCAACGCTTCCACTATATTAGTGCGTAGCTTTCTTGCTTTTCTACTCATCAGAGTCCTTGAGGTGAAGTGTCTTTTTGACTGGCAAGGGGAATTGTGTAAAGAGAGAGAGAAACTATTGAAGAAGGCTCCGTGTTGTCAGAGAGCTGACTTTTTCTGGCCTAAAGCAAATCACCATCTTTTTTGTGAAAAGAGGAGGAGAACAAGACCAACCTCATGGATTTGTGCACCCTGAACTCTGTGAAAGACAAGTCTAGATCCAGAGTTTCAGGGTGATACTTCCATTGTTAGTAGAATTTGACTTTTAATTCTTCATTCTCTCTTCTTGTGTACTTCTAGGTTACGGTACCGGGGATATTTTGGAGGTGTAACTGCTCTAACAAGAGATCAGTTTTCCAAGGTGAATGGATTCTCTAACAAGTACTGGGGTTGGGGTGGAGAAGATGATGACCTTCGAATCAGGTAAAAAATAAATAATAATTAAAAAAAAAAGGCTAGAGGGAAATGGATGTTAAAGGGTGGAAGAATTGGTTTAAAAAAATAAATACAAAAAAAAAATTGGCATGACTTCACACCTAGCCTCCAAAGGTGGAGCACTACAGGAGCCTTTAATTCAGAACAGTATTGCAGTGGGGGTTTGGAGTGCCAGATGCAGTTCTGTGAACAGTTTCCTCTTTGCAAAGGTTAGGCATGCCTGAGACCTGCTCCTCCTCTTGACAGCATTGTTGGTTGGGTGTGGGTTTTGTTAGGGTGGTGGGGTTTTTTGGGGGTTTTTTGTTGTTGTTTTTTGGCAAATCACATGCCAGACTTCAATCTTGCTGTTTCCGTTATAACCAGCTTCTAAGCAAGAATACGAATACTGTGTGGCTGAGACAAAAACAAAACAAGCCAACCAGAGACACAAATGTATTGTGTTCCAATACTTTGCAAGAGTGTGGGAGTGTTTTGGTGGGATTGGGTTTTTTGTATTCATTGACTCCCATGATTTAGTCCAAGCAGGGCTTAGTTTGTATGTAGGTGGTGTTGATTATAGTTAAGATAGTGAATAACTTTAGTTTTAGAAAGACTGCATATGCATATATATATGCCCATTGCTCTTGTTAAAACTTGTTTTGCAGACATGCCTGTCAAAGTAGGAGAAACTTCATAGTTTGAGAGGTTTAGTGGGACAAAGTAGTCAACAAAACTTTTATGTTGATCTTTTGCCCAGGAAGAAACCTCTAATCCTGCATTGCTGTTAGTGAAGGAAGGGAAAAAAAACCAACAGAAAAAAACCACAACCCTGCAAGCTCTGCTGGCAGAGCCTGTCAATTTGTAACTTGGGTATGCTCTGTCATTCTTAAGTGTTTATCCTTTTCAGTTGCTTAAATGTGTCCCCCAAATGTTTGTTTACATAAAATCCGTATCCCTGGTGATGGTAAATAATTACAGTGGTGAAATCAAGTCTGTTAAAATTAGGAACTTCCAAATGAAACTTTTTCTCAGTGTCAGTTCAGCAGATCAGTCAGCTGTACCTCAAGAAATCTAAAATCTCTGCTGGAGACATGGATTTCTGTCCCTTCTTAATCATAACCTTTTTTTCCTCCCTACCCCTAGCTGGAGACACCAACTTCCCTGTGACCTCTTGGGAGATGGCTTTTATTGTGGTAGGGGATAGCTTGGTACTGTCTTATTCCCCAGCTTCCTGAGAAGTGTTAATGAGCAAAGGTGGTAGTGGTGTTGAAAGATGTTCCTGTGGGCAGCAGAGAAGCAGCTGTGCAGCAGATCCGCAGGATTTACTGAGGGTCTCTATGATGTTTGCAAATGGTTGGAATCAAAAGTGATGCTTGCTTATGTGTGGCACCTCGTAATTTTGCAGCTGCTGAGGTCTCGGTGTGGCAACCAAATCTTATGACCCAGAGTGCACGCTGCAGCTGGGCTTGGCTCACATCTTTCCCTCTCGGGTGGACCTTGGACTGGGCTGGTTACAGAGGTTGCAGTGGTGGGTAATGGGAAGCTCGCTGTCTCGGTGGGTTGTTGTATGGACAGATCCTTGCAGCCTTCCTCGGCAAAGACAGCAGATGGCAGCATCCCCTTCAGTATCTTCAAGAACTCGGGCTGGAGTGCTCTTAGGTCCTGCTGTTTTGCCTCTATGCTAAATGTGATTGTCTCTTCCTAAGGTGTGCATCACAAAGAGATTTTTCAGATCATCTGTTGTATTTCTTTGATAATTTACTGCTACAAGTAGTCACAGGAAATCTGTAAGGGGCTCAGTTTCTTCAGTTCTCTGTTTCCTATTGCTCTTTTCAGCTGCTGATGTGACTAGCAAAGACCTGGGTTATTCCTTAATTCCATTGTCATGAAGTTAACCCGTTCTGCTGACAGAGCAAAACTGTTGTGCTCCATAGATATGTTTAAGGCCAAAAGCTCCAATCAAGTGCCTGATGTCTGCATGGTGCTTAGTGTTTCTGGCACTGTTCTCGGAAATAAATTTTTCTTTATGTGAACAAGTAAAAATTTTGCAGCTGACCGCCAACTGTTAAAAAGAAAACAAGCTTGCTTTTTTTTTTTAAGTGGAGGTCTATCAAGTATAGGTGGTTTACTGCCATAGTTGAGATGAACTTGTTGCAAAACATGTGGAATCTTGCTACAGACCTCCTAGCTTAATACAGGGTAGTACAAACTAGACCAGACAATACTAATCTAAATGTACTCTGTTGTATAATGTGTACTTAAAGCTCTATGTGACCTCTGCTGTAGTAGCTACCTGCTTCTGTTCAAAGAAAGGGGTATCTGTCACCCTACTGAACCTGTTCTCCAGAAACACAACTTTGAGGCCCATTTATCTGGCAAAATGGGTTGTGGAATGGATACAGATGAGTTTCCTACAGTTCTCTGTGCTTGCTTCCATGGCATCCACGAGATGAGTCTCCAAAGGTGGTTTTTTTTTCCTTAAGAGCTTGTTTATAGGTGACATCTTGCTCATGCACTATTCCTTCTTCCAGGGTTGAGATGCAGAAGATGAGAGTGGTGAGGCCGTCTGCTGATGTAGCCAGGTACACGATGATCTTCCACAAACGAGACCATGGTAATGAGGAGAATGGAGAGAGGTGAGTCAGGAACAGTGTTCCACCTTGCATTGTCTTGGTGTGTGGGTAGGAGCCAGGCATCTGGGGGCCAAGTTCTTTGCTCCAGGCCAAACGGGTGTTTTGTGGTACCCAGAGGGCTGTGGGGGACAGCCCTGTGACACCACTGTTCACAGCTGGTGTTCTGTACATGAGATCTGCCTAGAGCTGACTGGGTGATGTTCCTGAGAAAATTCCAAAGTTAGTTACATGGATATGATTTGAGCATATGATTTCGGAGATTAAACCAAAGGACTCTTTTCCTCATGTCCAATTGTCCATGCTGAGGACAGGAAAAGCACAACTTTATGTTCCCAGTAGATACAGACAGGCAGTAGCTCTGCCTCCCAAGTTTACTAGTAGTGGGAAAGAGCTCAAAACTCCTCTATTACGCTTGTCAATGAAGATTTTTCTCCTCTTTGTCCTCAGGATGAAGCTTCTACGTCAGGTATCGAGAACATGGAAAACAGATGGGCTGAACTCGTGTTCATATAAACTGCTCTCAGTGGAACATAACCCTTTATATGTCAATATCACAGTGGATTTCAGCATGCAGCCCAAGATCTCATAAGGGTGAGCACCGCCCAGGTTATAGGAAATGGCAACAGATCTTGTTTGTGGTTGCTGTTACAGCAGATGACTCCTGTCACTCTGCTTGAACGAGTACTTCAGTAGCACAGAAGAAAGACTTTTTTTTTTTCTTGACAGCATCTAATTGATTGGTCATTTCCTTTTGTGAGGACTGGGGCTATGGACTGACCTGAGGGACAGGTCCTCACGTTCTTCTATGCACTTTCTGCTGGGACATTTGTGAAAGTGTCCTTGTTTGGGCCGGTCCAGTGGAAGGACTTGAACTAACTCTCCTGGAAAAACATTTGTTCTTGCAACTATTCTTAAACTTCCTATTTGTTGTAGGGGAAAGGCTGCCTAGCACTGCCACCAATGCTATGACTTCAAAAGGACCAGGCCAGTCTTTTCTCATTAAAAGCACAAGAATTCTTCACCAACTACAAACTTCCTGAGAAAGGCTAATTTTTTCCAGCCTGAGGAAAAACTGCTTATGGGGGAGGGAAGAGCAATAATAGTAATGGATGAGATGTTAAAACTCTCTCAATAAATACACTCCATTGCATTCAAAAGGCTTCTCTTGTCCTTCATGAGCTCAGCTTACCCTGCTGCAGGACTGCTGAGGTGTCCTGTGGCAAAATGAAAGTCTCGGTTCTGCAGTAGGCTGCAGGCTGTGTGTTATTCTGGAGAGATCTGGAAGGAAATGCAGTGGCCAAGTCTGTCAGAGAGAAATTCTTGTCTGTGGTGTTCAATGCTTTGGAGCACACTGTTATCAGAGTGCATATTTGTATACATACCCAGGCCATTATTATTTGTGATTCTTGTTTTGGGAGACTGGTGAAAGTCTGTGGATAACTAACTCTTCCACTATGCTACAGCATTTCTGCTAAAATCTTAATTAATTAGCTCACTTTCCGTACTGCATTATACTTAACTGTCCTTACACCTGCTTGTCAGTTATACATCCCTTGCAGGTAAATGTGAAGCCAGGTTTGAGAGAGTTTCTTTTAAGACACAATATATTAATTACATTACAAAAAAGCAACTTCTACTTACTGTAATATTGAAGGATGATTCTCCAGCTGGTTGACACATTATTCCAACTGTAGAGAAGACCAAAGCTTTAAATAAGTTCTTAGGTGTTAGTGGGATAGATGCAGCTTTTCAGTGAACAGGGAATTTTAGTGCCTACAAGTACCAAGCAAAAATACCCTGTCATGCTTGCAAAATAACTGGACCTGGTAGGCAGTGCTACTGACTGACTTTATAGGGAAAGCAAGATTACAGAAAGGGCAAGGTCTTGGGCAGACTGTGTCAGTCTCACAGTCAGGTAAGTACAAATGCATTCCTGCCAGGGTCACAGCTCCACTGTTGACATGTTTGACTTACTTACTTAGATGGAAAACTAGTATTTTATGTTGAAGACAGATCAACCTTGAAAGATAATTAATGTCTGAGCAACAGCTGAAATAATACCAGATTAATTTCCCTACTCTGAGCAGGAGGTTAGACTAGGTGACAGCCTCAGGTCCCATTCAGCCTGAATTAGTTACAGCTACAAGGGAAACATTTAAACACAGGTGGATCAGGCCAGAAAAAACAAAGACTTAAGCTCTGGTGTTGCCTCATTTCAGGGCAACTTTCTCTTTTATTACACTCTTATTAAATATTCTAGAAAATCTTAATCCAAACACATTACTCAATTTATTCTACTCAAATTCACAAAAGATACTTACAGAACAGTAACTGGCTTCAAGACTTTCTCAAAGTACAGCACTGCAGAAGCCCATCTGACAGAATGGCTTGCATCCCAATTAACACTTCAGTACAAAGCAGCACAGAGCTATCCAGCTATGGAACAACAGTTCCAGAAAACTTAGGTCAGCTTACTGTCAAGGAGACCTTGATCCCCAAGGCCCAAAGGCTGGGAGGTGGGTCTGGCTCAGTAGTTAGTTTTCCAGTGCTTTGACAATTTTTACAGTAAGCCACAGCCTGTTTATTTGCTATCGTACCTTATTCTCAAGGCCTTTTCTTCTAAAACAGCGAGAAGAAAAGTGAAATTCATGAAAGACAATAGGATTAGTCTCAGGTGGTGCAGACTCCACACCACAACAGGAGGTAGAGGCTGAATGCCCATACCCATGCTGCCACGCTGAGCCCAAACTCTGGTTTTGTTTTCATTCTCTTAAGAAAATGGGGGAACGTATCCAATGTCCACAGTGATGTTGGTATAAAGAGGATGCTTTGTCCTGGAAAGGAGCTTGAACTCCAATGAATTCATTCCATCATCTTTCCATGTTTTTCTGGTGTTGTGTCGAGAAGTAGGCCTGAAAAAGGAACAATACCTGCAGTTAGATAGAACAAAGGTGATGGTTACAGCTGAAGCTGCAGAAGAAATAGTCTTCCAGAGGTGGCATGGTCATGGCAGATGAAAACTGCTAGCAGAAAAGCCCCAAGAAAATTCTTCTCACATAATACACACTAGAAAGAGAAGGCATTTTATAAGACTAAACAGATTAGAGTAAGTTCACGCTGACTATTCTAAACAAGGAGGACAATTTGGACTGGAACCTGTCAGACAGGCTGACGAGGGAGGTGGCAACTACAGTCCACAAAAAAACTAAGAAACTGTCAGCAGCTTAGAGAGACCTGGGAGTGCAACACCGAGGCTTGCAGCAGTGGTGTACATAAGCTGCTGTAGGTAGATTTTAAGACAGGGTTGTTATGGAAACCTGGGTTTTGAGGTGACAGAGGGAAGACTGCACTGTCAGTATAGAAGCCTCCACCACACTTGACCCAACACCCTCCTCCAGCTCTTTTATATAAAACTGAGTCTTTGCTAAGGTCTCACAGCACCTTCCTCATGTCTTCAAGCTAGATTACCGCCTTCCGCTATTTTAATGGTACATTGTAAATCCACACCAATTGAAGAGCAAGTTTTTATTACAGGGAAGTTGTAGCAAAGTGCCTCTTCAAACTGAACTCTACCGATTTACAAGGCAGGCAGTGGTGGGGTTTTTTTAAGTTTTATTCCCTGAATAATTTGATGCTTAAGTCTGATATGTGTTAGCTTCCTAGCTAGCACATGTCCTTAACAGTAGGAAACTGGGAGGAACCCTTCAAATGCAGAGACAGATACAGAATGATTTAGCTGAAACTGACTGACAGTCTTCTTTAAATAGCCACATTAAAGCAGAAAAACAAGCAGTGGCATTAGGTATACTTACTACCTGCTCTGAGGGAGATGATGGTAACAGTCAACCTGCCACAAGGCAAAGAGCAGCCTCCTAACTGCCCCCCCCAAACACTTACCTTCTCCAAGGCTCGTGAGTCTCTGTCTCTTCATTGTAGTCCATCACTTTGTAGCGTCCAAGGTGAGGTGATGTCCGGACTATTTTCATTCCTGCTAGCTGAATCCTTTAAAACAACAAACAAAATGTTTGCTTAGGCATAAAGATGCCATTTCTAGGCTTAGTTATAGGGAAGTTCAAAGTCAGAGATAATTTTCAGTGTTAATGCAATCAAAGCAAAATGCAGAAGCCAAAGGGAGTAAGTTGAACACCACCACAGTGCTGCATTATCTTCTCTAGCAGGTTCTAACCAGGCTTGGGCTAGAAAGCTCCCAGCTGCAGTATGCTTCAACAGGGTACAAAGAGGATTATAGCAAGCAGGGAAAGAACAGCAGCATACAGAGCATTCAAGAGCAAGACCCATGAATCTGACAGTTGGGCATTATTTTCACTTCCTTGTAAGAGCAGAGCTTTTACTGCCTAGAGGTCCATCACCTAAACTTAAAAAAAAAAAAAAACCAAAATAAAAAAAAAACCCACAAAACAACAAACCACCAAACTTGCAGTTTCTGAAAGGAAGCCAGTCCTGAGTTTCATATCCAGATTAAGCCTCTCTGTTCTTTGAGAAGTGCCATTCATTCAGTTGGCCTGGTTAGAGGACTGGCTTCATAAGAGATTAGTGATAAATACAGGCACCAGACAAACAAATGTGAGCTGCTCAGCTGCAGGACAGTTAGATAAAAGTGAACTGAAGGGTTAGAATTCCAGAACAGAGCTCCTAAAAACAGCATTCTGAGTGACTTTCAAGCAACTCATTGCTGATGGCATCTGTGTTAGTTTACCAAAGTGCCTGTAATAGTGCTAGGGCTAGCAAACCTCTGCTATCACAGGGCAGCTCTTTCTTACACAGAGAAAATTCCTGTGAATGTAAGAATCAATGTTTGCTCAACTGCAGTTATCTAACCTGCACATTTGCAACGTGTGATTGCCTTCCACGGCAATCTGGTACAGCAGCAAGCTGCACTGAAGCAGGAATATTAAAAAGCTGAAAGAGGCTACAGAACTGAAAATATTTGCTAGTCTAGAGCCATCAGATGATTACAACACTTCATTGACAGTATGACATACTATTATTTCAGATTGAGTTTTAGACAAGGTTTCTTGTTTTCTGAACATAAGCTTATTGCACATTCAGTCAAAAAGACAAGAAAAGGCAAGAACACTAAACTAGCTTTGCTGTTACAGATTTTGCATTGCAAGATTAAACTAAAAGCATATTATGAAACAGTTAATACATTCATTTACTGTTAAGAAAAAACCAACACTTTCCTGCAGTTGATAATGTTAACACGTAAGTGGTTCCAATTAGTATTTTCTTCTAATAAAAGGTAGATCCTGGTGTTTGCTAGGACTAATAGTTATCAGGCTCCAGTACTGTATAATATAAATAGCAGTCAGCATGTTTTTTCACTAACTCTGCTTTAATAAGCAGTATCCCAGCAAAAAAATCTTTACACAGGATGGGGTTTTCTGACATTTCAATGTCCAATTTCAAATACTAATTAATTTTGTTGCTACATGGTAAGAAGTGCTTGAGCACCTCCTAAAACCCAAATCCCAGTAGATGCATCAACCTGGCCATTCAAAAACAGTCAGCCCATTCCTAATTTCTGCAGGTTGAGACGTCAGTGCGTGATTAAATCATGAGCAGGCACTGTCCATGGCCTCCACGTACCTATGGGCCAGAACACTGCTAATCATTAGCATAAGTTTTCAGAGAAACGACACATGATTTACATCCCTTCAAGAAAGGGCTATTTTGGGATCTACATAACCTACTTGCCTTAGGAGATTTCTGTAAGGAAGTGCGCTCCTATGCATAACTGGCATGACTCTCTACCACAGGTACTGAAAACCCCAATAGATGCCTAAGCTGTACTAAGAACAGCTGAATAGACCCAGCATTGTAGTGTTTGATGTAAAAAAATCTATTTTCCTGGCATTCTGTTCCTTTAGTAAAGGCTGAATCTCTAAACAATCATACACCCTTTTAGTTAGGTTTCTCTGAAAGGAAAAGGAGGAATTGTATGTTAGAAAATCTGACTTTCAATTCCCAGAATAGTGCTTTGTAAAAACTCCTGCGGTCCTCAAACAGAACATTCCACTGAAACTGTGTAACTTGTCATGCTGTGCAAGACCAAAAAACACACAAGGCCTTTATCATCAGTTTAGTTTTATGAACTGCCCGTGAGCTTGCCTCAATGCAGGATGATGAAGGTGCACAGTGCAACTACAAAGCTGAATAAAGAAGCTACAGCTATGATTTTGTACTTGAAGAATTTGCATTAGGCTGAGTACCTGGAACTAAACTCATTGTATTCACTTCTATAGCATGCTGCTGCCATGGCAACTCAAGCATAAGAAAAAACATCAGATCTTGCTGTCACTGACTCACAGTAGTACACAGGCTTCTCCATCACCCAGCACTGAAGACAGAAGTTAGAATTCCTTGTGTTCCTTAATTCCACATATTGGTGATTAGGTAATACTTGGAGCAACCTAGATGCCCTTAACATAACTTACATTCCCAACTGTCTGAAAATTATTAAGTACCTTCTTGGGTTTCTTATTTGTCAAGCTTGCAGATTCCTCCCCTCCCTTGGGGCTGTTAATGTCAATGGAGTCACCTGTCAACCACAGGCGGTTATAACCTCTTGGATGCACTCCAGAGTGACTGAAGGTGCAAGGATGTGAAGTAACATTCTGTCCTCCCAGCACACAATGGGTGGATTCATATATTCTGAACATCTTCTGACATTAACCATTCCCAATGCCAACAGCATTCTGGATTATAATGATACTGCAAGCATGTTAAGGAACATCTTAGTTCCTTTCTTAGGGTAATGCTACATGTTTAACTAGCCAGCTCCCTTCTATTTTAAGCCTGTCCTGTGCATTAGTACCTTGTAGCAATGTCGTCATTTTCACCACCACTGCCCCAGTATGTGTTTGGAAACCCATTCATCTTCATGTAATGTTCTGGAGTCAGAGCAGATACACCCCCGAAAAAGGACTTATATGGCAGACTAAAAGAGAAAGAGAAAACAAAACTTCAATACGGAAGGCAAGAAATACCCTTTTCTGGTAAAGTCACTACTGCAAAATAACAGAAAACCTCTTAAAGGTTGTATCTTTCACTGTCCCCATTCATACTTTCTACGCAGGAAGTGAACCAGTTGGGATACGTACATCCAAAGTACATGGAGGCACTTACGTGTACTGAAACTTATCCATGGCACTAGCCATATGCTTGGGATAGTATTCATCACAAACATAGAGATTATAATCATTCTCAGGTACTAGGTTGACATCGTGCAGAAGAAGGCAGTCCCAGTCTTCATCCTTCAGGGCTTCCCGGACACCAACATTAAGCAGCTTTGCTCGGTTAAATGTACCATTCCCCACCTGGAAAAGAAAACCTACATTTCTTCACCAAAACAACAAAGAGGATAACTCAAAATTTATGTTAGTCAAAAAGCCTTATTCAAATGAATGACACTGGAATGAATCAATACTGGCTACAAATTCAATGCCCCAGACTCTGAAAATTTCATCCATTCTCTTCACAATATTCTCAGCAATTGTAAGCTTTGCTGTGTCAGGGGCTATGTACCGCAGGCTCCTGAAGGCGGCTGACTTTCAAGAGACCAGTAAGTCAATCCTTAGCTGTATGTCTGCACATCAACACTTTTGCCCTGACTACTGCTTATTAAAGCTTAGAAATGAGAAAAAAAATGATCTTGGTCAAACAAAAAAGCTTCTCCTCCCTCCCAATCAACCATCAGTTTCAATTAATGAATCAAAAAATTGCTCTCACACCACTGATCTTTTCCAACACCAGTCCACGTCAGTTCAAAACGGCTGTTTGAACTGCATAGGCGCATAGGCTGCCCCACAGCAGAGTCAAGCCAGATGTTTTTATCTGATACAGACTAAAAATAGCCAATTTCACTTTAGCATTTAGTCTCAACAGTTTTGCTCAGTAGCCACGCTGACAAGCTACAAGACAAACCACATCCAACTCTTGAACAGCTGAAAATACAAGTTACCACTTGATGACAACTTTATCCCTCTAGAAGAAAAAAAAAAAAAAGGCAGAACAAATCAATAGCAGAATGATGATCTTAACAAGTGGTATGACATTTCAATCATCAGCAGCCATGGAGATGGGACAGCATGTAACCAACCTGCTCTAAACCCATGTGTAAAAATGGTACTTCCACATAAGAAGATTCCCATTTCTTGTTCAGAACCTAACCCTTAACTGGGAAGTTCAGCTACACCATCAGGCACATCTGATTTAGATTTACCTGCTGAATCAAGTAGATACTGTAACTGAGCTGCTGGCGCTGCAAGAAAGGATGAATATAGTAGAGAAGATGGTGAAGGTACTTCTCCTGGTTCTTGTATGCTACAAGGATGGCTGATTTGTAGCGGGCCAAGCAGTGAGGTGGCCTGTAGCGGCCACCTGACTGAACAAAAGGATTTTTTTTGATGATCATTCTTTCACTAGGGAGTACCCTGAAGGTGATGGTTAATGGACCAACTGTAAGGAGAGACAGAAAAAAGAAAAAGAAAAAAAAAAGATCAGTGATGTTTCTCAACCTTCATTCAAACCTATATATCTGTTTACTACTTAAGACACCAGCCCCACCAGAGAACAGTTAACACCACCACGCAGATGTGCCCACATGATGAATTCCACCACTGCCTGCTGGTCACCTCCCCACGGCTCCACACCGAGGGGTGCTGGGCTCAGCACCAGGACAGCAGGCTCCCTGCCAGAGGCATCCCGAGTCCCAGCACAGCCAGCAAGTCTCACCAAGCTCCTGCACAGCTTGCTTTTTCCTGGTATTGGCTCCCTACTACACAAGCAAACCTTCTGTCTTGTGTTGCTTATATGGGATCCTTGAATAAATGTATTCACTGTAAGAATAGCATTGAAAAGGAATCAAGATGAACAGACATATCTGCTTTTACCACCCATATGGAGAAAGTCTCTAAGCCTCTTTCAGAGGAGATTCAAGGACAAAGATGTCCAAAAGGATATTCAGGAGGTTAGGGGAGAAATACTTTAAAGCCTGGATGAATACAAATGCTTTAGGAAATGTTAGCTTTATCTTAAAAAAAGTTTCAAGTTGATTTTATAATCATATGCCACAAGGTCTGTATTGGCTATATTATTTAATTATATACGCTGTGATAAGCAGGCAGTACTTCAAAATTTTGGGAAAAGCAGATGACAGAACAGAGAAGGAAGAAGAGAGATGTTACATTTTCAGCAACAGGCACAGGGTAGCAAAAGAAACTATGTATGACAGTTCCTCTACTCAGCACCTCAATTTTAAATACAAAACATACTGGGTATGTTCAACAGTTTTTACCTAATCAAAAAAAAATAAATCTGTGTTTTTATATGAATTCTTCCGTTCTTCAGATGGAAAAAGCTTGACAAGTCACAAGTAAGAAAGAATCAATATAAAGCATCAATCATAATTTTAACACAAGTCTCATATTGTTACAATAGGAATAAACAAATTCTACAATTATTTAAATGCCTGTCCTTCTGGGTAGTGAGAAAAGGTTCCAGAACTAGCAGAAGAGTTATATTTATACACAGATCAGTGTGTCTTAGTGGTTTCCAACCGCTGTCAGTTTCTAAAAAAATAAAGCACAAATGCAGAACAAGATTAAAATCTATGACTTAAATGAACTAGGGAGAAACCTTCACCTAAATCACAATTAAAAGGTGACAATTTCAAATGACAGTTTTAAGCAGGACCAACAATTCTCTGCAGGCCATGCTACCCAAAGACAAAATATTTTTTTTCCACCAGAAGCCTGTGAGGCAAGTCGTTGGGGTTTTATTGTTGTTGGTTTTGTTTTTTAAATAGCTACAAATAAGATTTTCTTTTCCTTCCAAGCTCACAGTTATTGCTATGGCTGTCTTAAAGATTAAGTTTTCAGTATCTTGGAAGTCAGACTCCCTCATAAACCAGTGAAACAAATTATTCTCTCAAAAAACTTCTGATAATGAAGCCTGAGAGAGAAAGAGCAAATATTTAGGCCTGGTGTTTTATAGCTTTCATTTGAGCAGGGAAAGGTATGGGTGTGTCTTACATCTAATTAAGTATTTAAGCAGGTGAGTCCAGAAGATACTTCTTCCAGCCCATTTTGCATTCGAGTCTCTGCTACAATTCTAACGAAGAAAATTGAGCCTGCGTTCACCCACATCCTGTTTAACTGACACAGAAGGAAGCAACATTTCTCCGCTGGTTTGGGGGCCTGGGGTTTTTTGAGCACTAACAAGGCTCAGGGACTAAATTTGGCATAAGATTCAAGCTGTCCATTCAGAATTGGGAAACATTTTGCTAGTATGTGGATGTTGGTATACCTCACATTTGTGATAGGCAAACCGATACTCAATAAGCATCTCTTTTTCTTCCTCAAGGGACACACATAATGGCATTTCCTGAAGGTTGGTCTGAACAGCCACTGACCCCATTCCTCATGATGTCAAAAAGGTCTAGCCACTGTGAATCCCACTTCATGGTTTGTTTTTGTTGGCTGGTTGGCTTTTGTTTGTTTGTTTTTAAAAGGAAAACCTGAATTTTGCTTGTCAGCAAGATCTTGCAATAGCTGACTCTTAAGTATCACTTTTCAGTCCTTCCCCAAGTATCTGAAACGCAGGGAGTATTTGATTTTGACTGTACTATCCTCAGTAGAAAACTGGAGTGCATTGCTATACCTTTGTACCTGAAACAGAAGAGTAGTTCTTCAGAGAATCATGTTGTGGGCCCATGAATCTAGGTCACACTTATGATTAACATTTTATGATGTTATTATCTACTTCTGTGCAGACAGTTTCCTTTTCTGCCTTTAAGACCACCACGTTTCAGTCCAACATTGTTTTTAACCTGTAGCTTATGTTGCTTTTTAGATTTATGAACTGCCTGATTATCAGATCTTTTAACTACAGCACCATTAACCACTGATTTGATGACAACTGGAGCTTGCTAAAGAAACGTTACATTCAGATTGGATTTCAACTACAGATCATTGCTCCAAGGAAGGTATAAGAAAGGGAATTAATCCCTTTTGTTCTCCCACAAAAGCACGGTTTTGTTTTCTATAATGCAATTGGGGCTCTTTGTATTGCAGAGTAAGATTTCTGTAGCGATAATCCTTAAATTCCAAAAAATGAAATCTATATTTGGACATAAGGGTATGAGTAAGATAATGTGCAATAGTTTCACTTCTGTTGCCTCCTTCCATACCCAAGCATATGATTCATGAGGGTAAAATTTGCATTTTTCAGGTTTTTCAAGATGCCATGTTCTCCCAACCTGCCTGGCTCCATACCTCAAACTCAGCTCAGAAATTCAATCTAGTATACGCCAAGGAAACACAGAAAAAAAGAAGTTAGTCTTTGACACAGCCCCAAACCTCTGGCTGCCCTACACCCTTTGCTACAAGCTAAATTCTGGCTCTCAGATCTCCTTTCTGCCCAACTAACAAAAGGCTAATGCACTGTAATCCAATTAAATCCCAGATGTGAACAGAACCATTGCAGGCTGTACCAAATAGGGAAAAACAAAACTGCTAACGCACAGCTTTGGGAAAGGAGGAAAACCCTGTCTTAGATGTTCTAGAAAGCACAGGATCCCAATTCAGACAAGGTACAGAATCAACACCCTGACACATCCAAGCAACTTCTCCATAGCCTGGTTCCTAAGCTCTTTCTGTGCCTGTACCATCACATGCAGGGTGTTTAATTAATATGAAACTTTAGTGTGTAGAGTTAAAACTCGCAATTCCCCGTCTGTATTGTTAGCTGGTGCCAGTGACAGCATACTCCCTGCTTGCTTTACTTTCTAGGCAACATAATTGACTATCAGGGGGATCTATTGATTTTGACCAGATCTATCCCATCTTAAGAAAGAAACTATATGACTTCTAAACAACTTGCTACACATTTAGAGTTAGCAGCTATAATTACTGAGTTCAACCAGAATAAGCAGAAGTTACAAAAGCTAAATGAACGGGAACAGTACCATGGATGAATACCTCACTGAGAAAGTGCAGCACCACACGCTACATTAATAGAGTCATATTTGTATAATTTTACCACTGTTTGAATGAAAGGTAAAAAAAAAAACAAACCACCAGACCAACAGCCTTAATTTAAGCACCAGTTTCTAATGACAGAATACAAGGCTGCCTCAACTGCAGCTGAAAATAAGTCTCGGCATTACCACCTTTTTACTTCTCTTTAAATCTGAGAGAAGAAACTCTAGCAGAAGAGTATCCCTCAGAAAATGTAGCAGGAGCTACTCGCTACCACAACAGATGGTCACACTCATTAAAAGGTTATGACAGATGGGAGTGAAAGGCAGTAACTACTATAAGAAGGGCTTGGGAAAAAAATTCTTCCATAACATGAGCAAATGATAAACAGCAGAGTTACAGTCAGAACTTTCAACTATTAAAGTCCTCAAGGGCCAAACCAACTCATTCAGCACATACCATGCATAAAGTGAGGTACCTCTTTAAATCTGAGTCTTCTACCATCAAGCTACTTCCTGGTAAGAGGAAAAGATGAACCAAAACAACACATCTTGCATGCAATGTGAGAAAGTCAGAGTTTGAATTTAAATGCTATTTTGTTAAGTTTTGCATATAAGTTATCATATAAACACTTTGCTTTTTCCAAAAACAAAGGAGGAAGAAACAGGCAACTGGATATTTGTGTAGAAACTTTAACCTTTTAGTAATTTCTTCACCTTTGACTAATTTATTCACAATATTAAGGAAGACACTGAATATCTAGTACAATGCTTTTCAAGTTGTTGGTCACAAAAGGTTCAATGGACACCACTAAGCATTCAAAAAGTAACATTAGTCAGAAAGCACCTAGTTCGTCCAAGGCAGAGGTGTTTAGCAATTACACTTTCCTGCTCCACAGCCCTGGAAGAACCAAGATGCTGTAGATTCAGAAGGTAGGAAAAAGACAGATGAACTGCAAGCTAATCTTACATTCCAACAGTTATTGAAATGATCTACTATATACATAAGTGGAAAAAGTGCTGCACTTCATAAAAGCCCTGATGAAGAAACCATTTAAGCCATTTGGCATTCTTCCAGCTACTTTAACACACTTTGGAGTGGACACAGTGACTTATTACCAGCTCTGAATTGGAGATTGGAGTCCTCAAGAATTGATTTGAAATCTCATTTAATGGAATTTATGAAATTAAAATTAAAAGACATTGTTATCTCTGATATAACACTTCCAAGAGAGATCAGTCCTATGAGAGAAGACGATAACAACCAATGAAGACATTTATAACATATTTATACGTCTATTCATATGTGCCCATCACATACAAAACAAAGGGCAACTACCTTGCAGAGTAGCATGCATTTCTCGGGTTAAAAAAACCCAAACCACCCAGAAGAGGCTGGTATATAGTAATACCAGAAGGAATAATTTACTTCATATCTAAAGGGGAATATCACTGAGTAAAAGTTAAATTGTAGCAGACTGCTCATTTTTCTTAAGCTGAATCTGTATCAATGCTCCAAATAATTTGTGCTTCACAGCAACAATGCTTCATATGCTCAACTCTAATTTTTTATGCAGCAAAACTTCCACAATTACTTTGCTTTGTTTTCTTTTTTTTCGCCCAGTGTACTTACTGTTTGTTTCTGTCTATAAGTAACACTACATTCTCATTTTAGCTTCAAAGTATGACATACAGGCCAATCCCCTCTGTTCTTAGCACTCTCAGGGATGGGCAGAAGAAGAGGTCTTAAAAAGATTTCACAGCTCTAAGAGCATTGATTAGTGTAATTTTACCCTGTGTCTGCCTCCTCCATATACATCATTACTCTTACTTATCTGATGGTTTGGCTGCAAGCTGCACAGAACTGCACCTAGTTTTGGGTTTGGTTGGTGGTTTTGGGTTGGATTTTTTTTTGGTTTTGAGACCAAAGCTTTATCATTTGACTCTTTTCAGAGCAGCAGATTCTCATCAGTAGCAGAGACAAGCAGGGTACAGGCACATTTCTGCTGTTCTTTTTCAAATAAAACAATTAAGTCAGAAACACAGAATTGTAGCTTCCCAAAAGAACTGATGGGCTGTAGCTAGTGATGAAGAGACTAAGACCATTAGAACTGGAACCTGTGCAAAAAGGGTCTGTCCTATTAGTACGTCAGTAGTTACTTAGTAGAGCTGTTTCCAAGGGAAATGCTGAGGCATATACCCAAAAGTTATCATACAATTTCATCATACATATTGCATGTATTTCATTTAACTTCAGCAACAAAGGAAGGAAGAAAACTTCCCAAAAGAACAAGCATCACTATGAAGACTGCAGTCTAAAAAGGCTCATCCAAAGCATCCCAGCAGAGTTCTATAACTGAATTAAGCAACTTGACACAAGAGTAACCACAGCATTGGCTTTCCACAATACTTCCACCTGTGAACCAAGGTCAGCTATTTGCTCTTAACTGTGCTCCACATGTGGTGATCAGCTTTCCTAGAACAGCAGGGCAACTACTAAGTAGTGCTCCAAGACTAGTTATATGCAAGACTTACACATGCAGAAACCTTTGTAGTATAGAGAATCAGATGAGGGTAACTTACTACACAGTACTCTAAGAAGCAGGTGTCCCCAAACCATCTGTAAGCACATGCTTACAGAACTCATCCATTCTTGGGTGGCTCAGTCGAACTGATTCACTACTACCGGAGATGCACCACTTTACTATCAACAAGCATGCTTTACAGGTGTGACTCTGTATTTACTTAAAAGTTTCCCAACTGTTCTAGTAATGCAGTAGCTGGATGAATGCTGCCTCTAGGATCAGCTCTAATTTGGTCCTAGCATAAATACAAATTAACCTGTGACCAGACTTTAAGGGAGAAGTTTCTAAGTCTAAAGGATGTGAAACAATCATAGACCAAAAAGATCACCATGAAGAGCAAGGTGCCAAGCTACATGCGCATACAAACGATATTTAAAGCCAACTTAATCAGTTAATCAATTTATATCGAACTATGAGCTTGATATAAGGCTGAGACAAAGAACCCAGAAGTTACAGTGAGTCAGAGGTGAAAACTATGCACTTACCAAAGCACAAGTTTTGGCATATTTTATACAGGACTGCCAAGAACAACAACAAAAAAGCGTTACTAACTTGGTATTAAGACCATGCGTTGTTTTCACTCGTTCTAGAATCTCTATGTAGCCAAATCCTTAATATTGTCAGTTTTTAGATCAGTAAAATACTCTTCCTCGTATAACCAATAAAAATTAGTTAATTAACACAAGAGAGTTTTGCCAGAGTAAGTATTACATCAGGATACCACTTTAAAAAAAGTGGAAAAGTTTGAAAAACGTACAACTTACAAAGCGTTCAACGTTATCACGCACCAAAGCGGTTATTTCAAACACTTACCGGTTCATACCTACCAAATATCGGTGACTGCGCCGAGCAGTACGGCATAGCTTCTTCATCGGGAGCTTGGGTGAACAAGCTGAGGTTTGTATACACGTCATGAGTTTTGGAGTAATCCAGAACCTGATGCGAGTCTAAAAACCCCCGAAACACATTCGAAGGCCCACCTCGGTAGAGTATCAGGATAAATATGGCTTGGAAGACAAACAGAAACAGCAGAAAGCAAGGATTTTCGACACGAGAGAGGGACATAGCTTTTAGCCCATGCTCTGGAACCAGACCGCTGAGGAGTTTTAACCGCCTTCCACAAGCTGCCGTTCTACGTTCAGGGCTACATCGCTGGGCACACCAGACCACCTCCACCTCCTCCTCCTCCTCACACTCTCCGAGGCGGCAGCCCGCTCTTCCAGCACGGCTTCGTCAGGCGGCTCGGCGCCAACCCACCCCTTCCCGCTACCGCCTCCTCACGGCGGGCTGCGGGCGTAGAAGCAGCCCCTCAAGGCCACCTCAAGGCAGAAGAACCACGGCGGCGGCACACCCTGACGCCTACCCCCGCCGGACAGGCTCCCTGAGGCCGAGGCGCCGGCGGGAAACGCGCCCGCTGAGAGAACCCACCGACTGGCGGCCGAGCGGCAGGCGGCCGGTGCGGCCCGGCGGGACGGCCCACGTAAAGGCGGGGGGGGGGGGGAAGCTCAGCTGTAACCGCCTCCCAGAGGCTCCCAGCAGCCCGGCCTTCCGCTCATCCCCCCCCCCAGCCCGACGCCGCGTTTCGTTTCGACCCAACCATCAGGCGGCCGCCCCCCCGCCGTTCGCCCGCCTTCCGGCGAGACTACAGCTCCCAGCATGCAAAGCGGGGCAGGGCGGAGCCCGGCCGCGCTGTGCTCCCCGCGGGGCATGCTGGGAGCTGTAGTCCGCGGGCTCGGGGCGGCCGCCGAGCCGTACCGCGGCCTTTCTCCGCTCTCAACCCACAGCCGCCGCCCCGACTCTAAATTCGTTATTGAACTGGGCAGAGGCGGCTAATTAATACGCTGCTCGCTTCCTACGCCAGAAGGGACTACGGCAGCGTAGCCTCCACAGCGAGGGGCCTCCTCACATGGCCTCACCGCCCATCAAAATTTTGGCTTTTAGTGGCTGATTTCTTAATGAGCTGGGGATTACGAGGCTGCGTGCTCAGCCCACCTGCCTGCTCTCGTAACGGGTTCCTAACGTGTCGCCCGTTTTCACGTAAATTTGGCAGAGGAAAAGAAGTCTTCCAGATAATAAACTCCTACAGGCTTTCCAAGAAAAGTCAGCGGCTGGGTTTGCACTGATAAAATAATAAAAAAAAAAAGAATTTAACGTTTTTTTTGGCTGGGGGAAG